AGTCTCAGCAATGTTTTAAAGTTATATAAACAATTTTTTGGCTTATTAACAAATAGAATATTAAAAAAACGATACTGGAACAGACTCGGTAAAACGCTTCTTGTAAAAGAAAAAAAGTTGAATTGCGAGGAGAAGTTCCTGAGATACAACCGGTATTTGCGACGAAGCTATAAACACTAGTATGGTACTTTTTGAACCATTACTTTATTTTTCGATTCTCTTTCTCTATACATTTTTTCGTTTTTCGTATGTTCAAAACACTCATAAAGGCCGTATGACACTATGCATTTTCTTGTATCATTTCTTATATCGTTTCTGATATAACAAAAAAATGGATAGTGTCATACAAGCGTATAGTTTTTTATATCAGAAACGATACAAGAATTTGTGTCCGCTGCATTTTCTTGTACAAGAAATGCGCCAATTTGTGCGCAAAGCCGCAAAAACGTAAAACTTCTGTCATATTGGCGGCTGGAGGCCTGGAGGAGAACTTTGATATACAATTAGACCAAGCAGACATCAGAGAAAAGTGCCCACCAACAATAACCAAGATTAGAACATCAGTAGCCAGTCAAAATTTCGACCAATCATGTGCCAAATCACATACAATTTCTGGTAAAACAACTTGCATAGTGTCATACAGGGCAAAAATGTACGTGCAAGAAACGATACAAGAAAACATAAATAACTTTCTATATCAGAAACGATATAAGAAATGATACAAGCAAATGCATAGTGTCATACGGCCTTTACATATTATAATAATAAAAATAATGTTTGTTGCATATATTTAAGTTTGTATTACAGATGGTAAGAGAATAAGAGAAAATAAAAGAAGAAGAGAACCCAACCGCCTGATGGCACAGGGCAATGCAAAAAATGCAATGATGGCCCATTGGCGATGGCAGAAGATTAAGGTTCACAATACATATGATTAAGTTAAGATTCGTAGTTTTTAGTATTAGAGAGTTAAATGCAGGGCAAAAACGTTACGTTAACGTTATAATTTGACAGCTACTCGTGCGCAGTAGAGGAATACATACGTTTGTGTTAACGGTTCTCCGTAACCTTGCGTGCGTTTACGGATTCCCTTAACGTTATCCAAATTGTTCGATGGTTCGAGTATTACCGAATTTCTGTCAAATCTCCGAAAATTAAAACTTTATGTCGTTTTGTGATTTTAACAAAGATTCATCTTTTGTTTGTATTATTGTAATCTAAAAATAGTGAAAAAAATCGAAAAAAAATTACGGATATCATTTTCCAATAAGTTATTACCAAATACATGTAGAAGTTGCATCGTACATGTCATCATCGAAATCAGATTCCTAACACATTTCAAATATTAAAGATATCTTCACTGCTGTAAAACAATCAAAATATTTCATAAAAAATTAACCAAACCAGGAAAAAAATATAAAAGGACATGTCTAATCATTCAATTTGTAATTAATACAAATTTGAGTAAAAGTAAGGTTAGAAACACACGTTAGACGTTAACGTTTTACACTTCACAGCTAAAACGTATAGTGTCCGTAAACGTAATATCTTTACGTTTACGTTGTGTTAACGTTTATGTCACCTGCACTTTAAATCTCTATTGTCACAGTTAAATGTATTGTATTGTATGGTATTGTACTTACATACATATTAAAATAAAGTAGTTTCATGTAATATATATTTCATTCTATACTACATACACAATACACAACAATTCTCGACGAGGATTAATAAATTTTTACTTTTGCAACTGCCAGTACATTACAAATATTCTACTTCTACATTTACAGTGGAATATTCTGTGGTCAACTGTAGTGAAATCTTTTAATGAATCAGTTACAAAATGGTCACGATGGGTGAAACTCCTAGAAGGATCTTTTAAAGTGTTTGAAATAGATCAAAATATGAAATGATCTTATTTATTACTTGCTATTACATTATATGTGTCCTGAAGTGTATGATATAATATGTGACAAAACATACAATGAAGTTAATACACTAATGGACAATTTTTACAATCCTGTCCCTTTGGAAGTTGCTGAAATTTACAGGTTTCAAACCAGAAAGCAAGCCGAGGGAGAATCAGTGCAAGAATTCTTACTAGCATTACAGAAGACAGCAATAAATTCAATATAAATTTTTTACAATCTAATAAATCTAGATTTCATTGCTCAAAATATTTAAAACTTTATAATATTACACAAATACAAATATTACATTCTAGTTCAGACACTAACAGGTATGTTATCGTTGTGGAGATGCTTCTCATTTAGCCACTCAATGTAAAAAAAAAATTGGTATGTAATTTTTGTAAGAAAAGAGGACAAAAGATAAATTTGTTTACTCAGTTGCTGTAGTTTTGCGCGTGAAGGGGAGACATCCAATGATGTCTCACCTTATTCTACTTTGGTTTAGTTCTGAAGAAGACATCATTGGATGTCTCCCCTTCACGCGCAAAACCTGTAATCACATTTACTTAATACTCTTTTTTTGATGTAGATTGTAAATAAACATAATTATAAAAAAAAAAAAAAAGTTGCTGTAGTAAATATTATTAACAAAAATGAATTTAATGAGAATTTTACCGAATTACAATTACAAAATACTAATACAAAGTTAACTACTTACTTTAAAATTGAATTACATGTTTTAGGTATGGTTTTAGAATGTATTTAATGAGAATTTTACTGAATTACAATTACAAAATACTAATACAAAGTTAACTACTTACTTTAAAAATGAATTACATGTTTTAGGTATGGCTTTGGTGACAGTTGAGCACCAGATTAGAACTAAATCCTTGAAATTATATATAGTTGATGGTAAAGGCCCCCCATTGCTTGGGAGAGAGTGGATACATTTATTAGATATAAATTTACATAATGTGAACACTGTCTCAATTGCAGAAAAGGAGTTACAACAATTGTTTACAAAATATAAAAATTTATTTGACAAATCTATTAGACAATTTCTGATACCAAAGTTACACCTACCTTACGTAGTACTTCAAGAATATGTAAACCTATTGTAAAAATGAATTTGTAAAAATATCGTTGTTAAGGGAGAAAATGTTGATGTATAGACATATTTAAGTTTGTATTACTTACAGATTGTAAAAGAAAAGAAAAGGAGAGAACCGCCATAGCAGAAGGTTAAGAATAATAGTTTTTAGTATTGTACATATATATTAAAATAAAGTAGTTTTCAAGTAATATATATTTTATTCTACACTAAATACACAGTACACAACAAAAACAATCGGTATTGAGCGATAATTTGGTATAAAAAGTACCAAAAATTTAAAAAGAAAATAGGTTGAAGTAAGTTTAATTTCAAAGTTCAAAATCGGGTATACATAAAAAAAATGCATTTTCTCAGCTTTAAATGGAGCAATTTTCTTCATTTTTTTTTAATCCGAAGTAACTTGAGTAGAGCCAGCTAAATAGCGCATTATCAAGTTCCAAATATGTTTTATTTTATTACAATAAATAAAAAAAAATTTCTAACTAACGTACATCTACCTAACTTCGCACTTCTAAATGCCAAAAAGGCTTTAGTTTTGTTGTAATAAATAAATTTATTTATAACAAAATAAAACCACATAGGTATTTCTTACTACGTTGTAGAATTTTTTTTAGAAAAACTTACCACATGTGCACCTTTTAATGTTACAAATAGAAATATTTAGAGACCATTTAAAAGTTTATTTAATAAAACAAATAATGTTTAACTAATTTATACAGCTTTCAAATAAGACAAGTTGCATTTAGGGTCTACAACATAGAAAAAAATAAGTTGTTATATTTTGTTAATTTATTTATAACAGCATTAAAGCATTTAGGATTAATGGATTGAAGGAAATGATTAATGGTATTTATTGCTATTTTGCATCAAGGGTAATAAATTAAGACATTTTTAACCTCTATTCGTATAATAGGAAATAATTATCTTTATTTTATTTTTGTACGACTTTGCTCCAAAATGAATGGTTTTAAAGTTTTAAGCAAAGAAAATAGAAAACAAATCGATATTTTCAGTAATTTTTAAAGCTTTTTATCTTCTAATTAATTTCCTAATTCAGACATAATATATTTTTGGGTTGCACGTTATGTTTACTATATAATTTTGACTAACCTATATTTACTTACTTAAAATTGATTTGCTTCAAGAATTTATATAATAATGAACGACACATATTGGGAAGATCTGGGCGGTTGTTTACTGCACTTAAAATTTTATTTAATGTAGGCATTTCATTCTTAAAAAAGAAGCTATGTACTATCTGGCGTACGGATGATTTAACTTTTTCATCATATGTTGCAAGGATGGAAGGTCGACCGCCAATATTTTTAGGACATCTTAGTGTTCCAGTCTGCTTATACTCTTTTATTGTGCGGTAAATAGTTGAATTCGCAACACCTAAAATTAACACATTACTTTAGTAAGTCTTGATTTTAACAATAAGTATTCTGTAAAACTAACCTGTTGCCTGTTTAATTTTTGCTACCGTAGCTGTTATTTTTAATTCAGAATTATCAATTTTGATTTGTTTATACATGTTTATAATGCATTGCTTCTCATTTGAAGATAAATGACCCAAATCTACTCTGCGTTTTTTAGGTGGAGAAGAATAATTAACACTAGAGCTTGGCATTGAATCCATATTGTAATCTTAATAACACTAATATGTCACTAAATAGTTCTGAAAAGAACTGTTTTTTATATAAATGCAAACGAAAAATCTAAAAAATCAAAAGAATAACTCAGAAAATGAAAAAAATCGTCGATATAAATTTTGAATTTTAAAATTTCACAAATGTCATTAGTGTCAATATGTCATAATTTAGTGGGGTAAACTTGCCTGCGATTAGACCAATTACAAACAAGCATTATGGCGCGGAAAATTTGAATTACTCCTCCTGGTTTAAAAACAGACCATGATATCTATTGTTTTTGACGTTTAATGAAAAAAAGAAGATGATGATTAACCTACAAATGAAGTTTTTTGAATTTTTAAAATGTCAACACTAAATGCATTAAATTTTTAGTAATTATTTACTGTTCATTTGTTCTGTAATATATGAGATGTATATTCGTTATGTCTAACAAACTCATTTGACAAAATGCATCTATCGAGAATACCTGCGGTGGCAGGTACATACATGAGAAGTCCCACTTTTGGTTCTTTAGTTTTTAAACAATCCTGGCCTGTGAACAATTCATTAAGGTATCTGTAGAATTCGTATATATGTGTATTTTAAGAGTGTTAAATTCTCAAACAGTTTGATAATTCCGTGATGTAATTCCAAAAAATTAAGAGGACATTCAACTACTGAAATACTTTTTTACAAACTAGATATCAAGAAAATCTTATAAATGATCATTGGTTGATGTTGATAATTATAGATTCGGATTACTATGGTATTGTAAAATATTCGGAATTTTAAGATAACTGGCCTGCATTAGTTTCAATTGTTACCTGAGTTATCTACTTTCAAATAACAACATCCATTCCATTTTTTTTATTACAGAAAACATAGACTTTCTTATTCTTTTGTCATGTATAATGTTCATATAAACTGCTTATGAATTGTTATATCACTGCTTCACAGTGACTGAAGTGCAAAAAATAAAATTTTTCAAGAGAGACAAAAACTCAACTCAAAAACTGTTTTTGTTTATTCTATACCAAAACTTTGTATGAATAGTTGCAACTTTGAAAGTGCTGTATTAATAAGACAATTGGGCATTGCATCAATGCATTTACAAACAAAAAACTGATAATTCTACAAAATATAAACTAACATATAAACATTCAATGTGAACAAAATGTTCATTGTATGTACATAATTTAAATACATAAATTAGGAACTGGCTTGCAATAAAACAGATCATTAACATGTTAAGCTCCACCATACAATGAAAATTGTTGGTCCCTGGGACCAATTTTGTTTGTAATATCTCTGTTGCTAGGGTATTTTATAATCTATTTGAATAATATTTTTCATATCTGCCTTTTTTTATGAATTTTGAAAGATTTTTGTGGCATGAGGATTCTTAACACCCTCTGTTCCAACCGCTACCTTGGTTCGCAGTGTTGGAGCCGCCTGGTACTGAGGGCCATTCAGTAGTTTCGTATTTCATGGAAAATAACTTTTGGGGTTTTAAGCCATTAAAACGCCACGCTCGGCTAGTTGGTTTGGAAGTGGTGGGAGGAAAGGGTGGAGATGGGAATGCTTTGGGTTTGGACATGGTTTCCTCGGGATGGGAGGCTGGGAAATCCATGAGCTGTGTGGGAAGCTCGTACAAAGTAACACATACAAATTGAAATCAATGCAATTGCCATCATGTGGTACTACACATACATCAATATTTTACGATAATTATTATACATTTTTAGGACAAATTGTGGTTTTAACTTAATATTGAATATTTTGCACTTGGGTCACTGTTCTGCCGGAGCAGCGATATGAACTCTTTTTAGTATAATATAAACAATTTTAACATGTTGGAACTGAAACATTTTTTGCTAATTCAAATTTGTATTGTTAAATTTTGACTATGTGTTAAAATATATTTTTTCTTTTAGCTATACAATAGTTAGATGTAAACATAGAAAATCTATCTACAAAAGGGAAGAGGCTAAAAAGCTACGCTTTTATGTTGTTACAAAATATGTTGAATATTTAAAAAATTTTGATAAAGTTCTAGCAAAAAACTTCCCTGAAACTGTACAAACTTATAGACTGTTTATAGATGGAACTAAAGAGTTTATTAAAGATACCAAAGAATATTTCAGGATTATTAGGATACTAAATACACCTGGAAAAAGTTTTGCTAATTTACTTAGAAGAGAAATGGAATTATATCAACAGATGCCAAAAGATATGAAAAAAGTAGCCCCAGTGTTAATTATATTCTCTATACCATTTGGATCTTATGTGATTTTACCTTTAGCATATATGTTTCCCCGTTACTTACTATGTTCCCATTTTTGGAATTTAAAACAAAAGTCAGAATATCAAATATTAAGTTTAAAGGATAGATTAACTCATAATAGACCTATTTTTCGACATTTGCAAAGTCAGATGTATTTTTTGAAACCGCATTGCCTTTACAAGTCTTGGAAAGAAGTAGTTGGTAAAGTAGGCAGTGGTGTGCATCCTACTGTCGGCGAAATTGCTAAATGTAAACAACTCTTTATGACTGAGCCTTACCATCTCCTTTATTTAAGCAGCAATCACATAGTAAGTAACTCCTACAATCTTACACCTTATATTACTTATATGGCAGCAAGGTTTTTGATTATATATTAGTAACTCCTATACCAACATAAGTATTGTACTGTGCAAATGAATGGGAATGAAACATTGATTGCTTTTATATTATTATTCATTATATAAATTTCCATATTTTTCAATATCCTTTTTTAAGATCTAGATTTGATATTGTGTTCACAGTTCCAAAACTTTCTTGTTACATTATCTACCTCCTCCTATATATTCACATGGATTAAATATCATTAGGCAAATAGCAGTAAACAATAGATACAACGAACAAACAGTTAATAAAATTTTAAATCAAAAACTACACAAGGCAGCTATGAAATTAGTATTTCCACGACCAGAGAAAAAATAAAATATCTTCTTTTCGATTACATATACAGGCAAAATATCAACAAAAATAGCCAAACACATAAAAAAGAATGGAATAACACCAGCTTTTAGAAAAAATAACAACTTAGGCAAATATATCAAAAACAACAAGAGCCAAAATAGAAAACACTTATACAGTGGTGTATACAAACTTAAATGTGGCGACTGCCCAAAAACTTACATCAGTCAAACTGGTAGAAATTTTAATAAACGAATAGCAGAACATAAAAGGGCTTTCAATAATAGAAAAACAGATTCTACATACGCACTTCACCTTCTAGATCATAACATTCTTTTAATGACGGATTTAAAATTCTTCACAATCAAACTAAAGGCCTCAAGCTATCATTGTTAGAATCCATGGAAATTACCAAATTAAAAAACACAGATATAATTTTGAACGACCAATTTGAGATAAACAGTTCTCCCCACCTCAACCTATTTCATTAAAGACTATAAAGTGTAAATGCATGCCAAAAATAGATCACTTGAGAAAGGCAATCAGCTGAGACAGCTGTAGTTTTAAGATTTTATAATAAATGTTTTGGAAGTTTTGAAAAGAAAGTTTTCAGTGTTTTATTGTTACATAAAATTATATACAAGTTAGGTATCATCAATAAGGGCAATATTGAGGATTTGCACACAAACAGCAAACTCTTGTGCAAGAAACTGAGTGATGCAAAAATGTTGAATCTGTGTTTGTTATAATGGGTTTTTCTGTCATTTCAAATCATTGCAATTATATTGAATTCATAGCAGTTTGATTAAACATCAAATTAGCATTAGACTCTGATTAAACCTGTATCAATAAACCTGAAGAAGTTGATCCACTTCCAAGACAAGATAAAGGTAAATAATATAGATTTATAATAATATGGTAAATAATAATAATATGGATTCGAAACACTAGACTTAACTTTATAGAAATTTTGTAGAGCCTTTTGAAAATATGGAATAAGCTACAGAGATATGATAAGCAATGTATTTTTATAATAGTGCCTTAAAACTCCACTCTCGATATTACAGCAAAACACTGGTAGTGAATCATCAGTATCTAAAATCTCTTGGGACTCAGACACCAATTATTTTTATTTTCTTGTATATAATTTTTAAAGACAAATTATTAATTATAATGAATTTCTTGAACTTATTTCCTTTACTAAATTTCACAGAACAAAGAATAGGTATTTATTTCATATTCCGTTTTACCATAATTACTATTTTGAGTGAAAATCAATCTCAATTCAATTTTTTTACCGCATCAACCCCTAGGGTTATCAATGGGATGGTTTATTTTTATTTTAGAAATAGTTTTTACATGACATATTTACATCATTTATTTACATGAAAGAACATTGTGAAATTTTACAGTTTGTTACTAATAAGTATCGGACCGGGTTGTAAATAATAACAACACTATAGGAAATACCGACTACCGACTTTAATTATAACTCTAAAACGTAAATGCAAATAACAATATACATTAATTAAACTATCGTCGCGTCTGTCGTCCTGAGTTTCTTCTCTTCTCATCATAGTCCTCCAAATAACTTGAAGGTTTTCTTATTCGAGCAGGTGGCTTTTTAACCTCAGTGGCCTACTCTACAATTTCTGGTTCTGGGTCCACAAATTCGTTTGGATGCAGAAACAGCAGTTGCGGAGTTAGGAGTAATTTTGTTTCCATCGAGGTTGACGGTGTAACTTCGTCTGTTGTTTCTTGGTCACACACACGGCTTCTGATTTGGTCAGAATGACGACGTAAAATTTTTACCATCAGGGGTTTGAACTTTGTAGCTTAACGGTCCAGTGGTTTCAATTATTTTGCAAGGAAGCCACTTTTGACCACCTGGAGCAAATGACCTTTCAAATACAGTCTCGTTTTCTTGAAAACATATGGGTACTGTTTTGTAAGAATTTTTCATCTCTTGCTTAGATAATATCTCTTTTCTAAAGTCGGGCTGTAACCGATCAAATAATGAGCCCAATTTTCGCCCCATTAATATTTCTGATGCGCATCTCCCTGTTGTACAATGGGGTGTAATGTGCTGAGTAAGGAGATATCTGTGCAATGCTAATTGTATGCTGGATGCCATGAATTAGCCACCCTGTGGGGTAAATAAACCACGTAATACATATATTGGCGACGTGCAAGTACTTGGAGGGGATACGAGAAACGATCGTGCGTGAGTAGTGGAGAAATCTTGCATCTTTTACTGCACATTTCATAGATTATAGATTTCATAAATTCATATTGCCAATTGTCATATTTCATATTCGTTTTGTTTATTTACACCTTCTGTCACTGAAGAAAATGGGATTTAGGAAATGCTGTGTTATAAATTGTAAAAATACATACAACAAAAAATTGTCAATTTAAGTTTTATTCGTTTCCAACTTCGAAGCACAAAGCTACTACAAAGAGAAAAGTGGATTTATATCATAAAAAAGCATCAGTAACATAACCTAAATTATGCATTATTCTTGCGCCCGATTTTAAAGTCAGTTTAAAATAAATAATAAATAAAAGTTCACTTTTAAGTGTAAATTTTAGTTTCATAACACTCACTTAGAGTTCATTTTAACTCAAAAATCAAGTTTAATGTTTGAATTTTATTTTTTTGAAGTTTACAAAAATGCAAGTTCAAGTTTTTCTGCATTAAGATATATTCGCTGTCCAAAAGTTTACAGGGAAAGAATTAATTGTTCAAACCAATATGATGATATCATGGGCTTAACCTGCTAATTTATGCATTAGCATTATTTATGGTAATTTATTTTTCTTAATTCTTCCACTCCACATAATTCTTCCATTCTTTTTTGACATTTGCCACTACTAAAGCTTTTCCCTTTGACTCGTGCTTGGTTGAAAAGTTATTTGGTGATTTACTTTCTCAAATCCAGTTTTTGTTATTGCATCCATATTAACAGTAATGCTGTAATTCAATAATATATTTATTTGTATTTACGCTACATCAACATTTACCTTTTAATAACATACCGACCTAACCTCAATCTTACTTTTTCTTCTTATTCTTTTTTGGGGCCACGTCCTTGACAGTTATCCGGTAACCTAGATCTAACATGAAAGCGCAGTAAATTTGGCTGATTTACGACACCAGGTGTCGCTGTTCCGAACTAGCACGGTCCCAATAGTCACAACACTAGAGGTATTTGGAACGATTTTAACCTCCAACCACTTCGAGTACGAGTCTATGATAATCACAAACATTTTGCCGTTAAATGGACCGGTAAAATCGAGGTGTACCTATTCTTGTCCATGGAACTCTGGCCTACTCCCACGGATGGATTGGAGCCTTTTTTGGCATGTTTCTAGACTCCTGGAACTCGCTGCATGTATTTACTAGGTGTTCGATTTGTTTGTCGAGATTTGGCCACCAGACATATGAGCGTGCCAGTGACTTCATTTTTACGATTCCAGGGTGTGCTGAGTGTAGCAAATTCAGTATTGTTTTCCTCCCTCCAAGTGGAACTATTACCCTTGTACCCCATAACAGTCGGTCTTGATAGCAGCTAATTTCGTTTTTACGTAGATGATAAGGAGTATATTCGTCTGAAAATTTAATTTTCTCATCAGGCCAACCTTTCCAAACCCACTGCAAAACTTTAGATAACACTGGGTCTTTCTTAGTCTCATTGGCAATGTCTTTGGCACATATTAGTTTTTCTTGGATGTTCTCAAGTATCAAAACATCATCTGAGCTTGGTGGTTCTGGCGCATGTACCTTTTGTTTCAATCTGCTAAGAACATCTGCATTCTGAATTTTTTAACCTTGTACGTAACATAATTCGTAATCATAAGCAGATAACATAAGAGCCCATCCAAGTCTTCTGGGTGACAGTATCTCTGGAACACCTTTTTTCGGATTAAAAATGCTCAACAATGGCTTATGGTCCGTTCGTATGCCTATTTTCCTGCCATATACATATTCATGGAATTTTTTAATGCCCTTCTTTGTCGATTTGGTAGAAATTTCGTTCAGTAGGTGATAGAGTACGGCTATGGTACGCCACTGGATATTCACGTACCTCATCATCACGTTGCGCTCTCTACTCAAGGGGGGGGAGGAACTGTGAGTGTGTGTCGCCCGGGTCTGTCTTGGGCGGGGGGGGGAGGGGGTTGGCATCAGCTGTCGTAAAGGGGAGTCTATCTATAATATATCGTTCCTCGGGAATTCGCTAGGGTCTAGAGTTCTTGAAGGTATTGGGAGGGGTATAAGAGGGGGTTTGGAGGTTGGTGTGGTGCGAGGTTACGAAAATGGACTGGGTTTGGGAAGGGATGGAAGGATGGTTTGGTGAGGATTTGGGGGGGGGGAAGTAAGGAGTTTTAAGGTGTTTTTGGGTTTTGAATTTTTTGAGGGATTTTAGGAGGATGAAGATTGGGGGGAGAGGTGGGGGAGTTGTATTGTGGATGTTGGGTTTATGTGTGGGAATGGTGTGGGGGGGGGGTGGTGTGGGGGTAGGAGAGGGGGGGAGGTGTGGGGGGGGGTGGGGGGGAGGGAGGAGGGGGGGGGGGGGGGGGGGTGGGGGGGGGGGGGGATGGTGGGAGGGGGGGGGGGGACCGGTTAGAGGTG